GGGGTTTTTCAAGGCTGGCTTACCGGCAAAGGAATCGAAGCTGCTTTGAGAAAAATAGCTCAAGCTGAAGTTATTGAAATGTTCGACCACTCGCTCAGCGTCAAGATGGGTGTTCACTTCTCATTGTGGTAATTAAATTTTGTATTTTGTAATACGATTAATTCTTACAAGCGTATTTTTTTTTATTAAAAAAAACAAAAATTGGATTTTGAATGCAGGGGTGGGGCCATAAAGTTTTTGGGGACGAAGCGACACCATGACAAGTGGCTGAAAGACACTGAGAATTATGTGGTAAAAGGTTGCTTTGCAATGACGGAGTTGGGACATGGAAGTAATGTATGTATGTCAAGGTTGTTAATTGATTTGTGGAATCTTTCTATGTTCTTAATTTTTGAACTTTGTGTTGGGTTTGTTATTTTTAGGTTAAAGGAATTGAAACAGTTACCACTTATGATTCAAACACTGGAGAGTTTGTTATAAACACTCCTTGTGAGTCAGCTCAAAAATATTGTATTGGTGGAGCAGCCAATGTAAGAAATTTTTCTTTCTTTAAGATTTGGTAGTCACTTTTTGTTGTTCAGTTTGATTCCCATGCCATCGGTAGAAATTGTACTTGCAGCATCTGTGTTTACATAGTTTTTGTTGTTTTGCCTTTTTAGCATGCAACACATACGGTGGTCTTTTCACAGCTTGAAATTAATGGGAAAAATCAAGGGGTTCATGCATTCATTTGCCAGATCAGGGATGCAGATGGTAAAATCTGTCATAATATCCGGATAGCTGATTGTGGTCATAAAATTGGGTTGAATGGTGTTGATAATGGTCGAATTTGGTAAGAGTTATAAGACTTTTGTAGCTGAACTGCTCTGCTTTATGTTTGAATGACCTTAAAAAGTTATGTTCTCTATAGTTAAGATGTAACTCAAAAGTTTTGGAATTTTTTCAGGTTTGACAATGTCCGAATCCCTAGGGAGAATTTGTTGAATTCAGTTGCTGATGTTTCACCTGATGGAGAATATCTTAGTGCAATCAAAGACCCAGATCAGGTAATTACCTTACTGATAGATGGCATATTGTTATCTTCTTCTAGCTTAATTTATCCGATAAGATGACTTTCTAAACTCTTATATATATGTGTTATTTTCAGAGATTTGCAGCTTTCATGGCCCCTTTAACATCTGGTCGTGTAAATATAGCATCATCAGCAGTGCACATATCAAAGGTAATAATGGATTTTAAATCTGCTCTCCCTTCAGTTGCAAAACTTTTGCAGTTGTATATAATTCTTGGGCCAGGGAAGCAGGTAATCCTGACAAACTAAATGAACTATTGGAAATTAACATTCTTCTCCTTTTAGATTGGCTTATCAATAGCTATAAGGTATGCATTATCAAGGCGGGCATTCTCTATTACACCAAATGGGCCTGAAATCTTGTTGCTTGATTATCCCAGTCATCAACGGCGACTACTGCCTCTCCTTGCAAAGACGTAAGCATCTCGATAACTTGTATTGTGAAAATTAAATTTTATTGAAACTTTGGTATTAAAGTTTTTTCTCCCTTCTCTTCCCTTACATTTATAATATCTGGTATGAACTAAGTATATATAGTACTGGATTTGCTGGTGTTGACACATCTACAAAATTTTCCAAATTGACTAATTATCTGTTTGCAAAGTAGAGAGTTTGATTCTACTGAAAGTGTCTATATTTTTCACCTAGTGGATCCTCATATATTATCCTGATTGCTTCGGTAATATGTGTTATTTGAATAGAAGTAATTATACTGGACCTGTCTGTTGATGATCTTAACTAATAAACTGGTGTGTTATTTCTGCTGCTATCCTCCCCCTTTCCTCCCCATTCTTGATTCTGCAACAGATATGCTATGAGTTCTGCTGCAAACCACATGAAGATGATATATGTGAATAGGACACCTCAGTCAAACAAAACCATTCATGTTATTTCAAGTGCATTCAAGGCTACTTTTACCTGGCACAATCAGCGAACACTACAGGTCAGGGACTGCAACTACACATAGATTATTTACATTCATGTTAAGTGGTCTGATTCAGACTACTGTTCTTTTAGGAATGCCGTGAAGCATGTGGAGGACAAGGCCTGAAGACTGAAAATCATTTTGGTCATTTGAAAAGTGAATTTGATGTGCAATCTACTTTTGAAGGGGACAACAATGTCCTGATGCAGCAGGTTAATGTCTATGGTCTTCTCTTTTATAAATTATGACAAAGAATTGCAACATATCGCTGTTAATTGTTTACAAGTGACCTGCATATCTATATACTACATTTTTTGTTGGAGACAGGAATAGGTATCAGAGAAAATGTTAGATTCTAACTTAACGTCGTCTGAAATGACATGAATTTTTGTTTAATAGCCTTCCCAAAAGCGTTGGGGAGTAAGAAGACTTTTGCACTTGATCTTTTATTGAATTAGTTTATATTTCCTCCATGTTTGACCTTTAGTAGATTATAGATTTTAGACTTTTTAGTACTGATAATAGCCTGCTATTTATGTTGATTGCATGTTAATAATCCTCTTGTTTCTTTTAATTGAAAATCTGCATATTGCAATATTCAGTTTTGGTTTTCATATTAATTCTGTAAGCTTTTTGTACCAATTTTTAATTTGTTTTGATCAATGGCTAAATATTAATATGGAACTATATTTATTCTCAATTTTACTTTCTCCATAAATCTCACTGTGAACCAATTGTATTTATGAGTTAAATGTGTGAATATAGGTTAGCAAGGCGCTTCTTGCTGAATATGTAGCAGCTAAGAAGAGAAATAATACTTTTAAAGGTTTGGGTTTAGAACATATGAATAAGCCTTGCCCTATAATCTCATCTCAGCTTACAAGCTCTCTCCTCAGGAGCAGACAATTTCAAGTAAGATGATTGAGCTTTTATTATTGCAATTTTAAATAGGTTTTGAATGTTTCTAACCTCTGTGCATGTCAGATGGATGCATTCTGCTTAAGGGAGAGAGACCTGTTGAGTCGTTTTGCTGCGGAAGTATCACAATATCAAGTTAAGGGACAAAGTAAACAGTACGCCTTCATTCTGGTGAGTAGGCTCTTATGCTACTAACTTGCCAACTGCTTCTCCTAGCATTTCCCTTTCTCTCTAATTGTTGTTTTCACTTTGCCACACCCAGAGTTACCAGCTTGCCGAAGACTTGGGTAGAGCTTTCTCAGATAGATTAATACTGCAAACCTTTATCGAGGCTGAGGCAACCATGACAACTAGTTCTTTGAAGGTAAATAATAACAGCTTTTTTCTTGTATACTATCTACACTGACCTCTGACTGGAATCTAGAACCAGTTTCTGATATCCATTTGTCCAATTTTTGGAGGAGTATATAGAAGGTGTCATATTTTGTAATAAGTAAAAATATTATAAATGAACTGCAGTTAGGAATCAATTTCTAAGGTAAGATTGAATGAAAAGGAATACCTAACTACGTTCTAGATGGAAAACGAATATGTTAGTGGCCAGATGACATTTTCGGGGCTACAATACTGAAATAAAAGATGCTTAAGGATTGTGGGTATTAATAATTCTACTTAGAATCTCGGTTCTGTGAAAAGTATAAATATATATATATATCGATTTGTATATAATTAACATAACGTTCCTATATCATATGATACCAAATTAATTGAAAAAGTGAAACAGAAGTTGCTGATCAGTAGGTGTTTGCTTTACTTATGCAGGATGTACTAGGTTTGTTGAGATCATTATATGCTTTAACACGTATGGAAGAAGATGCTGCGTTTCTCCGATATGGTTACTTGTCAAAGGAAAATGATGCTGCCGTGAGAAAAGAAGTGATACAACTCTGTAGTGAAGTGCGACCACATGCACTTGGTTTGGTCAGTTCCTTCGGCATTCCTGACGCTTTCTTAAGCCCTATAGCATTTAACTGGATTGATGCAAATTCTTGGTATGCAGTTCATCAATAATTTACGATCTTACTTCCTCTCTTATATAGCCGCAGCAATCTGCTTTCAGCGTAAGCAGCTTGTTGAACTCTCCGCTATTTAAATTGTGATGAAAGTATTTTCTGTAAAACAGATTATAGTGAATTTGGGCTTTTTTTATTTTTCATTTTTACACAATTAAAGGTGCATTGGTTTGGTACACAATAAAATAGGGGGTCAAGAGAATGGCACTGTTCCCCTTTGAGCAACCAATCCACCATCAAAGATGATTCTAAATAAAGATTTGCTGATCTTTCTGAAATTAGTAATGTAGCTTTAAAGTTTCCATCGTTTTGTTTTGTCAAACTACAAAGTAAATTGATAAAAAGAAAAACTGTAAAAACAGAAAATGTCAGTTGTTTATCAATTTGGATCTGAGATTCATATAAAAATAAAGAAATATTTTTGTTTCCGTATTGTGTATATTTTGACAAAACATTTTATGAAAGAGAAGTAAGATACAGTAGTTAATTCACTTAATGGTCTAAAATCAGCAGGAGACGAGATAAAATATCAATTGCATTGAACCTTATACTACGGGTGTTCACTGTTCAACAAATAAAACTCCAATGTTAAAATGAGAAAAACAACTATAAAGATACTTTGACGTTAAGGAATGCCAGGTGTTCTTACACAAATCAACTGCAGATCACAGTGTCAATTTATTGAACTCAACTTGCCAGCCAATCTCTTTGTGTTTGTTAAAAGAGCAATGTTAGGTACACAATCTAATCTCACAACATTTTTTCACAGAAAAGAGGTGTACAAACCAGTGAAAACAGAAAATGAACTGAAAAATAGTATTGCAGATATATCAAGCCATAAACTACCGACAGGCTTTCGACATAATATTATCAATATCAGGATTTTTGCTGGAGTATGGGATTGTGTATTTTGTGCGTCTGAGAGCAACATAGAAACAACTAGTAAAAGGTGAACATCATACAGCATGAGACTGAAAAGCAAATGCAAATAACAATACTATCAAGACATCAATTCAAAACTTGAGAAAGGTGATAGCTTGCCAAGACAGTATATCATTCCCATGTACTTGATATAGAACCTATAAAGAATCCCAGCAAATTTTCAAACATTTTTTGGCACCCACATTATGAATTATCTCAAAATGCAGAGATTAAACAATTTCGGCAGATTGTTAACTTTTCATATACATATTTGACAACTATTGTCAGCATCAACTTTGACCCCACATGGAGGAAAGTGTGAGATATAGGGATAGCCTACTACACTATACATCAATTATCTATAAGCAATTCCAGTTCTCACCAGCTGCCATAATGAAATTCCAGGGGGGTATCTTTACACTACAATATGAAGTTTTCCCCTTTAGCTAAAGAAGATGTTGCCCTGCAACATCAATCACTGAAACAAAAATTCTGACTATGAATCACCACCCTGCAGCAAATTAGCATTTCTAAAGCTGGGTAATTAATTTGTTTCTTCATCAAGGCTAGGCTGCTCATATGTGTCATAATCGTCAGTTAAACTGTCCGCAAGAAGCTTGTGTATACCACTTGAACCTTGATGTAGAACTTCAGTGGTCGAAGTAATGTCACCTGGAGAAGAATTAAATTTTGCAGAGTCAACGTTTTTATCAACATTTTTATTAGTCTTTCTGTTGCCCTTAACAGAGGATCTAGTATCAGCAGGAACCTCAGCAGTTAGCTGCCCCATCTTCTTCTGCAGATCAGCAAGTGAATCCTTCGTAACTTTTACCTTCGGACTTTTCTTCTCATCCACAAGCTTAAGTTCTAATCTATATAATGCATAAGCATCACAGCTGTTGAGCTCATACTCATATAAATGCCACTCCAAACTGCCGGAAGGTTGTGGGTCCATATAATAGGACCTCTTTTGCCCCCCAAATTCCTTCATCACCTGCTTTCTTGATTCATGCCAACCACGTCCACTATGATCTGGTAAGGACCTCTGCTTTCTTGTTCCACTTTCAAATGCCCTTCTACGCTTATCAAAAAAGAGCCACTCCCTAATTGTTTCCCCTTTTAGTAAAAAAAGATCAAAAAGCTCTGCAATTTCAAAAGAAATTAATTAGTCTCACAAAAAGGACACACACACAACTTGCTCTGTCATATCAAAACAGAAGACTGATTATGTAAGAGACAGAATTACAGGCATGACACAGAACTGCATTCCATTGATAGCATCAGATTTAGATAAATGGATATAATCAAGCTTCAAGATGGATCTGCAAGGTATTGGGAAACCAAAGAAAAGATGGAAAAAGAAAAAGGTACTTAGGCTTACCAGTAGCATTCCATGGAGATTTTGTATTAGCGGCCCCTTCACAATGAGGAATACCCACATTCTTACCCTGTGCCTTCGCATTAGCAGCAACAAAAAGTAAATTATCCTTCAAATTAATGCCCCCTGGTCGCAGAACTGGAGTCCTTCCAGGAGAGTCTTCATTTGAAGCCAAAGTAGCATGAAAGCAGCTGCAGTAGTCCCTGTACCACTCAGATCCTAGAGCTGGCCTTGTACAATCCCACAGCGCACATTTTGGGCCCATGAAAGCAGATGGTGGGCAGATATTTAGCAGAATGTTGGATCCAGCATCCTTTTCAAATTCTTCACCACAGCAGGCACCAACAAGAAGCCCATGCTCTAATTCCTGATGCAAGTTTAACTGGCTGTAGTCTAACTGAGAAGTTATATCAGAGACACCACCTACAATGTTGTGCATGCCTAAGGTGGAGCCTTTGCATCCATCGGACCCTTGGAAACAATGTTCCTGCAGCTCATTGTTCACCAAATAGTCCTGATACAACAATATTTTGGTTATAAAAACGCATAGGTTGCATTGGGATGAACCTGAGTTTAAGTCTTTAAATCATTAATATGAAGATCAGTAAGTACAGATTTTACATGTTAATGAAATCCCCAATGGTTTCAAGACTCATTAAATCATAAATTCTAAAATACCTATTTGAAAGGCATACACCACCCAAAGGATTTGAGTTGTGGGACCTTGCATGTTTTGGTCTTTCTCCCTCTTACAACTCTAAATTTTTAAATATCAATACATCTTTATTCAGAGAATTACAACACTGAATATTTAATTATCAATATAACTTCATTCACAGAATTACATATATAGATAATTTGATTCACACCATCTGAACCAAATTTGATATCCACAACTTTACACACCCAAAATTGAGAAAAATATGACATTGAAATTTATTTTGAAAATTAATAAATCGTATACTGTAAGATTCGAACGTTATTTTTGTCTTCCTTCCAAAGGAATAGAAACTAATGTTTATAGCAAAAGAATAGAAGTGACATATAAAAATAAGACAACAAGCAGAAACAATTTTATTTTACACCTTCCTCTTAACAATGACCTCACCGGAAGGCGAAGCTCACCTCTTGAAATGTTGTCATAGCACCAGGATGAAGGCCTTGAACATCAGGTTGAGGCTTCAACATTAGTTCTGCCAATGGACTAGTGGCATCATCTTGCTCCTCGCTTAATTGTAACAGACGGCCTATGTCATCTGAGAACGATCCAAGACTACCACCCTACACAACTCCCACCAAAAAATATTCTGACACACATAAAAAATAACTTGTTTCTAGAGTACAATAGAAAGTCCTATAAATAGTCTGTACCATCCAGTATTTTGGTTGCATTTTCGTTATCAAAAGAAGAACCAAAATAGATGACAAAAGATTTTCATCCAAGACTATCTCCCACCAAGTTAAATTTCTACCCATGGAAGGTTCGTTAAAGCCCAAAAGAGATCCCTATGAGTATAAAATAAAATTCAAGATTACCAACTTATTCGATCCCATCAAAAAAACTTTGGTACGCATCAAAGGTTAATTTATTCAACGTACAAATGATAATCCTTGAGACAGCAATAACAAAGGATAATATTATTTTATTTATTTTTCTAATAAAAGCTGAAAAAATTGAGACAAAAATAGTCAAAATTGATGAATTGTAGATACAGACAAGTAATGAAGAGGCCGGGGATGGCGCACTGAGCTCGGAGTTCCACTCTCGAAGTATCTGATTGACTTGCTCCTCTAACACAACCACGTCATTTACACGGCCATCCTTTCTGGCTGTCCGAAGACTACTAAATCTTTCTTGGAGATCATTGAGCCGATTCTTTGAATTATCCATCAAAAGCTGGTGTGATGCAGATCCACATTTGCTCTTCGACCCACTCATCATCCACAGCTCTATTCCAAATCCTATTAAGTCACATTGAGATGCTCAAATTTCTAAAATGTATCACACAAAAAACTGAAACAACGAGAATTTCAAGTCAATGTGGTTACATATAATGTAGGAAGCAATAACAAACTAAAATTTTCAATCTCATATGGTTCATCATTCGGGATAATGTAATTTAAAAAAAAAAAAAAAATCTTTAACATTCCCCAAATTTTATTTTTCAAAACGAAAAAACAGATGATCAATCTTCCCTAAAAACTGACCCTTTACAAATCGAAAAATAAAAGTAAAAGCCCAGCGCCACCCCCCACCCCCTCTCAGTGATTTATTTTCTAGTATTTCCACTGTTTTGATCGAGTAACAGAAAACCCTAAAAAGCAAAAACGATGAAGAAATAAAGCAGAAGAAAAAAATAGTTACAAAACGAATCAAATGGAATATTGGATCCCTGAAAGGTTTAAAAGAAGTAATGTAAGAAGGAAGCAATGCCGCTCAGAAATTCTCTTTTACTATAGGCGATGACGATGAGGTGTATCAGCTAGGAACCCGGGAAAATTAATAAAGATGGCGGCTTCCAACTATCTCTTTCGTATTTATTATTTACTTCTCTCACACTCTTTACGCCTTTATTTTTCAATTTTCCAGGAAATATTTTTTTATCCAATAGTAAAAATAATTAACTTTATATTGTAACTATAAAATTCAGTTTTTCTTTAAACTTTTGCAAATAAAATAAAAATACTCTCCATTTTACAAGAGCAAATTGATATTTAATATTTACCATATAAAGAAATAATTAATTCTTTAAATGATAAGTGATTATTGCTAACTTTTAAATTTCTTAATATGTAACATAACACATAAAAATAATTTTAAAATTCTTATTCCTATATATACCTGTATCATTAGTATTTACACTGACAGTATAAGGTTCCGAGTTTATATATAAAAAAATTAACACAAATTTCCATTATTGCACTCTCACCTATAAGATTCCAATAACTGTTTGGGTCATGGGCGTCATGGCTATACAATCTTTGGATTTGATTACATCTATTTAAGAGATTCTAAGAAATTAATCTACCCCTCAAGAAACGTCCAGTCCTCATATTTCAACACAAGACGTCAAATTGACTGTGAGAATTGAAAGAAAGATCAAACATATGCTTTTCGTTAATCAAAATACCATGTAAAAGCAATTGACATGGTGTTATATACTATGCTTTTGAAGGAATTCTGTCAGCTTGCCAAGTATAGTGAGTCTCTGTTGTTGATAATTTATTCAGAAAAAGTCTGTTCTCTGAATGTTCCTGTTTCCTGCAAAACAAGACGAAAAAGGATAAATAACATTAGCCAGTACAAATCGAAACCAATGTAGTTAAATATATCTCATTCTTAGACAAGGGGAGCTCAGGTTACCTCAGTATTGCAGCGATTAGGTGGATTTTTCCTTTTCATTGTCGGTATGATGAGGATGCCTAATATGGAATAATCCACTTAATCCTCGTCCTTTAGAGAGTTCTTCCAGCTCTGCAAGTTTCTGTTTAAGAAGCTCAATTTCTCTTGCTAAATCTTCATCTCTTTGCTTCATTGCCTAAAGCAATACATTAAAGATTGCTGAACTAAAAGACGAATATCCCTCCCCTACACTGTTTTGTTTTTTCTACCTCATGATAGGTTGAGACAAGGCTTCAACATACATTTCATAGATAAGATATCTGAACTCTGCATTTTGGCTTTCCATATATGCGCACATCTTTATATGAACAACACTTGGGGTTATATGCTAACACAAAGTGAATTCTCCAAATGGCCTTTATAATTCTATTTTTATTGCTTACACAGCTGGTCATAATTTCCAGCAATCTCATGAGTAACAGTTATCAGCTTAACATGGAATGAAGAATATAAAAATTCCTATGCTATCAGACCAAGAATTATAAATGAGTTGACGGATGTGCTTCCTACTTCAACAAACACTCATGAAAAATAGAGTAAGAGAGAGCGAGAGTAAATAAGACACCATGTGATGAACACCTAAGAAATTTTTACATAAAAGAAAATCTATACCTCTAACTCTTGTTTGCGCTGCTCCTCTTTTCTTGCTTCAGATCTGTCACTTCTTTGTACCTCAAAAGTTACAGCAGCTACTGCAACCTAGACATAAACCACAGGAATCATTCAAAGTTATATATACCAAGATTTTGGATGCAGAGGACAAAGGATACAGATCATACTGTGAGATAATCAATACAATAGGACTACAACAAGCCATTTGCCCTAGATGAAAATGAAAAGTATGGAGCCCAAAATCAACTGCCAAGTAGGCTTGTCTATATTATCTCTCATGCACAATATTGTACAAGGTATTGATATCTTCATTAACTGACCAATCTTGGTTATAAGTTTAATGAAAGTGATTTCATAGGGAGAAGCATAAATATTACATTAGCTGAATAAGGATTGAGAACTATTTAGCATGTTATCTGGCCTTCTAGAGTTAAAATAGTGAAACAGCAGTGATCGCCTCATTTATGGATTTAAAACAGACAGAATTCCCTATTAAAAGCAGAGTCAAGGACATCCACCAAAAGTTTGATAGGGTTTGGGATAGGATCTGTTTATATGAGGAACATAGACCTCCAAGAACAAGAGACAGAAATTAATTGACAAAATTCTTCATTGATAATCACAATCTAGATTTATGCTATTATATAGCCTTACACTTGACTCCAAATGACTCCTAAAAGAACTCTAATTACCTAATTAAAATCTAATAAGATATTCTATCATAATTATAAAAGGATAATAAGATAATCANACAGTGAGATAATCAATACAATAGGACTACAACAAGCCATTTGCCCTAGATGAAAATGAAAAGTATGGAGCCCAAAATCAACTGCCAAGTAGGCTTGTCTATACTATCTCTCATGCACAATATTGTACAAGGTATTGATATCTTCATTAACTGACCAATCTTGGTTATAAGTTTAATGAAAGTGATTTCATAGGGAGAAGCATAAATATTACATTAGCTAAATAAGGATTGAGAACTATTCAGCATGTTATCTGGCCCAATAAGACTACATTGACCGACTGAAATACCGACTGAGATATCCTGACTGACGTGTCAGTCTACGTGCCATATGCCACACGTCAGATTCACGCCCAAAAGCTTAAAAAAAAAAACTGATACGTCAGTCAGGATATGTCAATCGGTATTTCAGTCGATCAATGTAGTTTTATTGTATCTGGCCTTCTAGAGTTAAAATAGTGAAACAACAGTGATCGCCTCATTTATGGATTTAAAACAGACAGAATTCCCTATTAAAAGCAGAGTCAAGGACATCCCCCAAAAGTTTGATAGGGTTTGGGATAGGATCTGTTTATATGAGGAACAGAGACCTCCAAGAATAAGAGATGGAGAAATTAATTGACAAAATTCTTCATTGATAATTACAATATACATTTATGCTATTATATAGCCTTACACTTGACTCCAAATGACTTTTAAAAGAACTCTAATTATCTAATTAAAATCTAATAAGATATTCTATCATAATTATAAAAGGATAATAAGATAATTTTATCATAATAAGATAATAGCATCATTATCAAAGATAATTATAAAAGACTTAACATAATTATAAAAGATAATAATAAAAGACTTAACATAATTATCCTAATTCTAAAATAATCCTAACATTGTCTTCCCCTTCGGTTCAACCTTGTCCTCAAGGTTGCAAGATATTGCATCATAAGAAATCATAGGCGCAAATGAGTTCCAAGGCAATAAAGAGATGACAAAAGTTCCACTGCCGGGGTAAAAAATCAGCACGGTAAAGAAGTTGCTTGTTCCTTTGTCGTGAGCCAACACGATGCCAGGTAGTGACATTAGAGAGAGATCAGAACACGTGAGAGGCTTGATGAAGGCTGGTAGTAGTGGTGGAGGATTGTTTTTATTATGACCCAGAGGGACCAAGGGAAGGTCAACAGTAGACTTGTGGCAGACAACAACCGCGACATAATAGGTAGAATGGTCGATGTGGCCCACTTGAGAAATGACTTTGGGTTCCAAGGAGAAGGTCGTGAGTTGCAGTTCCGTGCCATCAAAGCAGGGCACCTCTAATCGGAAAGGCTTAAAAGGTGGCATAGACCTAGAAGAATGAGAACTCGAGTCGGGCAAGGGAGTGCCATCACCACTTGCATCACTGTCCTCCATGAGCTCTTTTTGTCTTCGTTCTTGTTCTAACTTGCCGTCAATGGTAGTCAGTTTTAGTGTAATAGCCATCAAAAGACCCTCTGGGGAGTCAAGTTTGGCCTCTTGAGCGTCCAATCTGGCCCCATGTTGAGAGACAAGTTCTTCCAGAGCCATTAGGCGACAAGGATCAGCCATGGAAAGGGAACGAGAGCACCAATGATAGGGTTTGGGATAAGATTTGTTTAAATGAGGAAAAAAGACCTCCAAGAATAAGAGACAGAGAGATTAATTAACAAAATTCTTCATTGATAATCACAATTTAGATTTATGCTATTATATAGCCTTACGCTTGACTCCAAATGACTCCTAAAAGAACTCTAATTACCTAATTAAAATCTAATAAGATATTATATCATAATTATAAAAGGATAATAAGATAATCATATTCTATCCTAATAAGATAATAGCATAATTATCAAAGATAATTATAAAAGACTTAACGTAATTATAAAAGATAATAATAAAAGACTTAACATAATTATCCTAATACTAAAATAATCCTAACAAAGTGTCACGAAACAGTGTTATCTGCACATGTTCAACACACATCAAATTTGAAAGCAAATGTCTAGAAAATCATACTCCATACACTTCGGGCTATCAAATTTGAAAGAACCCATACTCAAGTCACAAAGCCAAAACTCTCAACCTATTCCAGCTAGATTGACAACCAGCATATCGCCTACCCACTTGAACTTAATAATTTAGGCCAACTAGAGTCTAGGCTTGCTGTCAACCCAAGCATGGGTAATCTCAATGCCTTCACCTATTGAGTAGTTATGGGTATCCCAACGGGGATTCCTGATACTTCCCAAACACTGAACTCTGGAAAAGACATCAAGAACAAGCCAGGTCAAGGATTTCCACCCAAGGTCTCCATGACCAATCTAAATCATCCCTTGAAGTTGCTCAAGGTTGGCTAGTTCCTAGCCCAAGTCTAGTGGCCACTAGAGTAAGGAAGCAATGGACCACAAGACTTAACTTAGATATCAGTTAGCTACCACACTATGTGAGCCATAACTTAAAACCTTGGCATCAATAACCAGCAACCAAGATAACACATGGAGCTGAGAACATCCTTCCTTTAAAACTCATTCCTACACTAGAAGCATTCAAGCATTTGTACTTTGATACAATAGTTAATCTTTGACCATAATTAAAACAAGGACATAAATTGAGATATAACATTACCGAAAACACAAAGAGTTCACCAACAAGATCTCTGCAGCAGCTTGGACATCCTTTTCCTCATTTAAGGGGTGTATTGCAACATTAGTTGATTGATCGTAGATGCATCTTTGCATATT